AGTGGGGTTCAAGGGTTATCCCCAACAATCCTGGGCAGTGAAGCAACAGGAGGTAATGCCAGAAGGACAGGTCTTGGAACAGATTATGCCTGGCTGAGAAATGCAAACTTAGCAATGATCACACTTGTCATGTGCAAAGAAGGGCAGGGTCTCCTGAGAGGAGAGCCCATTGCACGCACATTCATGTCCAGGATATTATATAAATTGCAGCTTATATGTGATTGGTGATGTGAATTTGTAGATTTCATTACAGGCTTTAACTAAAGTCACCCTCACAAAATGGACAATGGGCTTAAAAACATCCCAATAAAGAAACTGTGATTGAAGGTTCTACTAAAATTCCAAAAAATAAAAAAAATAAAAAAAAAAGAAATTTCAATCGTTGTACTATTGATATTTGGCTCTGTTGACTAATGAGTTTGCCGACCACTGCCTCAGGGGATGTCGGTGAGCCGAATCCGTGCACTAGGCCTCTAGTTTTAAAGATTAAAAAATCAAATCACAGAAGCAGAAGATAACAGATTACTAGCAAATGAAACATAGCGTTTACCCTTTATTTCTATGTGCTGGTCAGCTTCTGAGGGATTTGGCACTTAGGAGGCAGGTCGAGTGACCCATCGTACCTGGTCTTGTCCTGGAACTTGCCGCCTGCCCCGATGGCTTTGGCCTGGGTCTCTTTGATCACTTCCAGGGACAAAACATCATCTTTTCTCAAAGAAAAGCCCACATTTCTCTGCATTAATAGGATCAGTTCCATATCTTTCTCTGTGAAATTCCCAGTAAGTTTTTCCAAAATGTCGAATATGAGAAGAGACTGCCACGTGGAAGTCATACAAATGGGCAATGATGGTGAACAGGTTGTCACACTCTTTGCCCTCGCTTCCCTTTCCATAGACGTCATCAAACTTCCTCACCACGGCCTCCAGAAAGGGAGCTCTGACCTGCACGAATGAAACAGACCAAACGTCATCGCAACACCTGACAATCGTGGCAGCAAGTTACTCTCAGGGATCCTTCTTTTCAACAAGCTGAAGTGTTTATGTTGAAAAAGTCAGTACTTTTAAAATCAACGCGTCAATATACACATGGTAGGATACACACGCCCACAGCGCATACGCTTTAAAAACCAGTCTGAGGGTGCAGTATGAAACAGGCCCCCACGGACTGGTGGATGCAGCACAGAGCAATCCGCCACAGCACTGGGACCTGCCTGTAAGCACACCCTCTCGTCTTCTAGGTCAAGGTGGACTGCCTCGGCCAGCAGCCTTCTGGTTCCTTGGAAAAAGACCACCGCACATCTCTGTCTGCAACGCTGCACATCTAATAGCACTCATTCTGAAGTGCACGCTGAGCGTGGAGGAAGAGGCATGGAGCGGTGTCAAAGGTCCAGTTGGGAAGTGAGACCTGCACAAACACAGTCCTGTGGGACCTGGGAAGGAAGACCCCGAGACAGAACTAGCAGGTGTGACCAGCCACTTGGCCACTAGATGTAAAAGATTAAACTCTGAGGAACAGGAGCTGGAAGGGGAAACCTGGTGGGGAAGAGCAGGTTATGGGGGGCTGCTTCAACTGTGGGTGCAGGTGAGCTCAACCACACAGGTTAGAGTGTGATATACACGCGTCATTGCTGAAGGTCAAACACTAAATGCTAGAAGCCTCCAGAGAAAGGCGCAGATGGGCAGGAGGGAACGACTTGACAGAGGCCAGCGCCCATAGACAAGGGATATTCTGTGGGTAACAAATAATAAATGTAACCTGTAAACTCCCTCCTGGAGCCCCTTCACGAAAATCAACCTGAAGAGCATACTATGACCACACATTATGCTCAAATATAACTTAAAAAAGAGACATTAGCTCAGCCGGCATGACTCAGTGATTGAGAGTTGACCTTCGAACCAGGGACTTGAGGTTTGATTCCTGGTCAGGGGATGTGCCCAG